AGCTCCTGATTCCTCTTTGGCTTCTTTGAAAATACTAGTCAACATGCATGCTGTTCTGGTTGCTTAAGCTAGGAGTTTCATACATGCCCTCTTTACTTTAAAACTGTAGAAAGCCGAGCGCTACATTTCCTTGAAGAAGTTTAAGATTTTTCTCATTCATTTTGGTGGCATAACAATGGAAGGCAAGAAGCTAAATGCACAACTTTAGGTACCGGCAACCTTTGGACAATCACATTTTGAAAGGAGCTGGAATTGTTGGAGCATGAGAAGTGGTTTGGCACTTTAGTCTCTGAGTATATGCGCCAGTTTCTCCACCTGACTTTCTTTGGAGGATCAGTTGGATTCAGGCAACACTTCCCTGCTACCCAGGATGTACTGATATTTGCTGTTTTCACTCAGGCAAGAGTCTGGTGAAGGGTCTGAAAGGGCCCAACAAGCAATGGAATACTTAGGTGCCGGTAAGTGAAGTTATGGCCCTTTTCCTACCACCTTGTGGATGCAAAAATGAATGCTCATATTTTAAATTAGTGAGATGACAATGATGTTGATATGTCTTGGGGAAACTACCTTATATGAAAGGGCATGAAAGGACTCGGGTATTTAGTAGAGCTGGGCTTATTGTTTATGAATTTTGAAATGGTCATCCGTGAATCCAAGTAAATAGTTTATGAATTTTGCACAAGTAATCTCTGCACTGTTCTCTCCATGTATCTTGCACTTGGTGTCCAGCATGTAAATATCTCATGGGTTTTGACAGAGGAGCATAAACTATCCATACTGGATTCTGAAAAAGGCTTCTGCAATGACATATAGAACCATAAGAACTGATTGCCTTGCAGTGGCTGTTAATTATAGATCGGTTTCTGACTCTCCCAAGAGCAGAACCGGGCCCAGCAGCAGCAGCTGACATGGTGCTGTTGGGGCCCCGGTGCTCTAGCAGGGGCCATTGATACTAGCCTCTGCCTTAATCCTGTGTGTGAAGCAGCTGGGTCTATGAGCTTCCGCTTTAATTTCCCCGGTATTTCAGAGTGACACTTCACTGCACACTCAGGGGATTGTGGGAAATTAGAATAGCAGAAGCACACTGGAACTGCAGTTGTTACTGCCAAGTAGGGCTGAAGGGGACCCATCAACCAGAGAGTGGGTCCAGCAGAGGTCAGCTTGTCCAGGGCCCCTCAGGCCTGGAGCCGGCTCTGGCAAGGCCAGCCGAGGAGCTTTGCCGCTAGGTCTGTACAGGGGGTGGTTTCAGGAACTACTGGAATGGCAGGGCAGGAGGAGAAGGGCAGAGGAAGGGAAATGGAGGAAGAGAGGGTTTTTCTTTGCTTTCCCCAAGTGTACATGTGTAGTAGCTGCGCATAGTTTGGATGCAAGGTGCACTCCAATCCCTCAGTTATTGCATGTCATCATCCCATTAGTGCGATATTCTTAGTTCCTTCACCAAGCAGCAGTTTATGATACTGTGACAGATGTTGTCTCATCTTATGGGCAACTCCTGCCATTTTCACTGGTTGTCACTATGTCTGTGTTTCTCAAAGTGTGAGTTAGGCATTTTCAAAGGGATGTGGGTAATCGCTAAGGGGAGACTGCTTCTTTGATTGTTTTCATGCCATTTTCTGCTATTCAGCATAAAAGAGGCACAAAATGGCATGCAGCAATTTCTCCCTTCCCATCCTGCTTCATTGTTAATCCTTGTGGGCAACTGTATGAGATATATCTCTGCCATCCACATAGTTCCCACATGGTGTAGATTGATGGTGCCGAGGACCACTGGATCAATAACGACACTTGTGACAGTTTGATAGACTCTCTCTCCATGCTATGAGGCAAGATGGTCAGCAAATTTCCACACTAGAAATAATAATAAATGGTTGGAGTGCAATTCCCATTTATTTGATGTTAAGAGAAAATCAAAGTAAATAAATGGACAGCAAAGCATAACACTCTATGAAAACAGGATTCCCCTCCCCTGCAATGATACGATGTTTCACACAATCATTTTCCTAACAAGGCAGTTTGAAATAACCTAATAAATATTGCCGCCGCAGACTTGGTACATGAGATCAAATTAAAATGCAAAATATCTTGTCCATTCAAATTACATTTCTTCATTGATTCTATAATTTGATCTACTAAAGTGTTTCATTTGGGCTTTTAATACATTCTTTTAAATTGGTTACAGAATATAGATTGCTGTGAGCTGTAACTATTGCCAAAGTGAAAAACAAACTTTATGATAGCAGGTGAACTGCGGAGTTTTCATGTTCCTGTTTTTTAGAACGTGGACCTATGTTCAATGCAATGCATGTATCCAATGCGGGGGTGATAATTTCTGCAGCCCCACACCTGATACCCTACATTTTATCCAGATGGCCATTTTTGGTTGCCTAGATGGAGTGCTGTGGAGGAGGAAGGGAGGAGGCATGGGCGCCATTTGAAGATGGCGTAAACCATTAACCCCAGTCTCCTCTCCACTCCACCCCCTCAGCATCCACTCCAAAGCCAGTGGCCAGTCTCAGAGAGGCAGCCTCCACAGTTTCTCACACTGGCTGTATTCAGAGTCCCAGCTCTATGGTTGGTGGACCTTGGGTAGTCGCCTGGCCCCCAGATAATGTCAGGAGGGTATAGGGTTATTCCCTTACAGTTAGCTTTTCAGATTACCATGGGAAAATGAAGGGATTCTCGAGATTACCGAGTAATAACTTTGTTTAAAGTAAGTGCCTCAAAGTCACTGTTACAGATTATATGATTAAGTTTAAAAGAAATAAAATTAACTCTGCAGGAAAGGAAGATGATCATAAAATCACCCCCAATTTCTTAAACACACACACATCTATTTGGAAAACCACTGACTGAGTTTATAGAAGGCATATTCTTTGTTGATTTATTGATTTACTTTTATTTACATTGCTTGTATGCTGTTCCAAGAAGATCCTAAAGTGCTGCTATCCTTAAAAATTAAGAATATGGACATATTCTTAGACTTGGCAGTCTTTAGACTGTAGTATTTGGATTTAGCTGTTTATTCTGCTTTCCTCAGTGTGGATTTTATCATTTGTGGCTGTATGTTGTCATCTTCCATCGCTTCTCCCATGCTTTCTAAACATTTTCTGTGGGAAGGGGGTACAATGGTTAAAATCCACTATCTTGGGGAATGGTGGAGTGAAATGCTAGTGTAGTTGCACTATACCACTGGAAGTTAAATAGTAGAACACAGAGTAAAACAGGGAAAGCAACTCCCCTACATACAGAAAAAATAGTGTAGTGGATCCAGTCTTAATCTCACAAATTGGCTGGAAGTCAAAGCTGCAGTAAAGTGGCAGGTTGCAAGTCTTGTCTAGAAAAGCCCATTATTTCTTAGAAAGGATCTCTTCTTTTTTAGTCCCATACTCCCATATAAGTACATTTCACTAGCCAAAGTTCAGGACATAATTTTGCTTGCTTATATGCTATGGAAACATATGAACACTTAAAGCTATAAAGTGCAAATGTGCACAGTTGCATGGAAGCCAATGGCATTTGCCAATTAGATTTATCCATGAGTAGAAGTTATCAGTAAATACAAATTATAGGATCCTGATTAGGGATTTAACACTGATCTAGAAGGTTTTGGATATGAGAATGTCAAAGATTAACTGAATACACCAAAGTGCATTTTGAAACAGATGGCAAACTGATTGCTGCAGGGATCCACAAATATTGATATTTACCAATCAGCCAGGATACTTAATTAACTGAAATCTCAATTTGTTATTAATATGTGAAACATCTTCAATAGAAACTTTATAAGCTTTGGACAAATTAGCTGTAAAAACAACTAGCAGATCCTTCATTCTTAATCACAGTAAGTCAATCATGATCTTAACTTACTTCTTAGCTATCATAGCAACAAACAGGATAAATGCTAAACGAGATCAAGCTATAGTTGGCATTACAACCATATCATGGACATTCAGTGTCACTATTTTATACTCTCCTTAATGAACGTTGATCCTAGAAGCTGCTGAAACAAAATACACAACTGTCTATGTACATTGGATGTATATATCATCAAAAGATAAGCAATTTTTGTGATATTGACAAAGAAGAGGACCCACCTAAGTACGTATCCTGGAGAAGTCCACAACACATTCAAATGAGTTCAGCTTTGTATGACTCTGACCTGTGGTTTCTTCAGCAGTTCAGCTTTTTCAAGTTGCGTGGATTCTGTGGACTTGTGATCTGCTGTCTAATTCTACTTTTGAGGGAGCTGTGGAATATGCATTATGAATATGTGCATTGATGTGGAATATGCATTGCTCCTAATGTGCACTTGCACTATTGTACTTTTGTGCAAATAAAACACATGTGCAAGTGCACATTTCCAAACAGGAACCAAATATTGAAACAAGCAGTTCCACCACTGAGTGTACTCATGGAACAAAAGATGCCTGGCAATCCACAAAACACAGACAGAATTGATATACAAAATTCAGATTTCCTTGTGCTGAACAGATTAATTTTGGGTGGAGTCTTAAGGTAAAAGTACAGAATAAACAAGGAATGCAAAAGATCATCCATTATCCCTGGCGTCCATATAGTTAAATAGACTCCTGACTAGTTTTAGCATACCAAGTAAATGCAGTAAAGGATTTTCTTAGCAGGCTGTTGGTGGAGTTTGTCCCAAATATAGCAGGGCCTTTACATGTACAATGTTGCTAAAAACTAGAATGTTGTATGGACTCAAAAGTTCCAGTACCAAATTTACAAGCTTCATCTGAATCACAGGACCAAACTGCAGGTGGTGGATTCAGCCGAATGCTGCATCTCTGTGGTACGTCGTGCACACAGCTTCCCTAACACTGGTTGCCACTAAAATGGAAGTGTTCATTATTCTTCTGGAAGTGCATGGACATATTAGTTCAATGGAAGGTTTGAGGCTGCTCCCAGGAACTAAATGTGGACTGCTCCAAATTATAAATTTTAATCACTGAAGTTTTCTTTGCTTCTTTCTTTTTTCTTAGAACTATGCAGTGCTTCTGCATCAGCAAACTAGCCGAAATGTACAGAGCTCAACCGGCCAGCTTCACTTTGGATCTCACCTCTCAGAGAAGGAACTTAATGCTCTTGCAGATGAGCAAGTTGGACAGCTAAAAGAACTAATGCATGAGGCCACCAAACCCAAGAGACAGTTCAATATTTTGGAGGATACAGAGAAGAAACACTAACATATTACTTTGAAAATGCTCTAAGTAATTTTATGGAGTTTCTTTTTGCATTACTTTTGAAGACAGACTCACTCTGAAGAATAAACGAAGCTGATGTAGATTCTTTCTGTTTTATTTCATCCTCTGGGGACATGAATGATGAATATTTAGAAATAGATACAGCCCCATTTGTATTAATTATGGCCCACGCTACTGCTTAGAATAGCTGAATACTTGGTATTTCTGAAATTTTTCACTGTGTTCAGTTTGACACACACAGGGGGCAGGGATCCAAATGGAATGTTTTATGGTAAGACTAAATTTTCTGGATATTCGCACGTTCAGGTCACCTTAGCACATATATGAAGTTCAGGGTGCATTGGTACTTACAGGGAATTTCATTAGCCATGCTGTGAACCATATTCCCCATTTGGAAGATAGTTTGAGTGTTCACTGTGCTGAATAACATGGTGTTGGTGCAAAGTTGGCTGACTCATTGTCCGCTCCTAACTCAGCATCATATATGAAGGCCATTCAATAGAACTGTCCCCAGTCTGGGTTCCTAGGAGGCTGCATAACTTCCTTGCTTCTTTATTGGAAAGATGTCCATATATTTCTACCATCCACTTTTTAAAAATCCATTTATATAAGAGGAATTGTCTACTAAAAAAAAAAAATAAATGTGCTACTCAGAAACCATTGACTTTGAATGATGGACTTAGCAAAATGTGCTTCAGAAGTCTGAACACATCATAACCTGGTTGACATGCACCACTAAACTATGGTTTATTTGCTCCTTCTCACTTGTCCAGTGTGCCTGATTTCTATATTCAGCTCACCATAGTTATTTGTCATGGCTGAACCTGAACAAACTGCAGTTAAGGTTAACTATGGTTTAGGGAATCAAGCCAGCCTGAAACTATGGTTTATGATACTAGCAACTTTCCCTAATTCAGAATTAACACTAGTCACAGTTCTTATTTCAGATGCATTTAAAAAAGGCAGTGAGTTGAAAATGGAAGCTGACCTTTCCAGTTTCTTTACAGCTGCATCAGAGGCAAAGAAGAGAGCCCATGAAGCTGAGAGCCCATGAAGCATCATAATAATGCTAAAGTGTAATTTACAATCTTATGCATGTCCACTTCGACATAAACCCCATTAGGTTCAGTGGGGTCTACTCCCAGTTAAGAACTGCACCTGCAGTGTTATGCCTGAATGCAGCCCGTGCCTGTTAGCCCACCCCTGTACACATCTGTTGACTCATTGACTCCTAAGGATTAGCTACTGGCGCTACGAACTTGTAGCTTAAACTCTGCTGCTTTTGAGCTTGCTGTGGATTTTTGGCCCAATCAGGTACTAGAAAGAATTTCCTCAGAACTGAGTTCAGCTCTTAATCTGAAAACGGTTCCCTATCCCTGCCATATGAGCTATTTTCAATGGAAACAAGACTGGGGAATGAGATAAGCTTCCCCATGGTACATTCAAAGTAAGAACAGTCCGTCACCCCTTCATGCCTGTAATTAAGTCATTTTGAAAGGATAGAACTATGTGTTATGCAATAAACATAACATGTAGCTTGACTTTCATGTGTGGAGCCACAGTTTTATATTTTGATAACTTACACTTCTATTCCATCCATAACCAAAGCTCTCTGGGCAGTTCACAACATTTAAGTTACCCATCCAGATTTCAACCAGGCCTGACTGTGCTTAGCCTCCATGATTAGGCAGAAGCAGACATTTCAGGCTATACAGAAGTTCATATAAATGCAGCTCATCCCAGTGCATGGCTCATGGGGTGCGGCAGATCATTATTTCTGCTTTCTGGGCCCCCACTTTGCATTTACTTTTGCTCCTATAAGCCTACCATTCGGTCAAAGCTGTTCCAGGATATGGTTGGATTTTCTTAGTGGGAGGAATTGTGTCATGTTGAAACAATACCTTTCTTCTGGTGTTTGTTTCCTTGAAATCTATCTTCGTATTCAGTTCATCTGCTACATGTTCTCAGGAGACATTATACAGTCCACAGGAAAAAACAAATTAAAACTCAAATGCCCTGTTTTAATTGAACTCATCTTCCATTCAACTTTTGAATCTTTTTTAAGAGCATTTGTATATGAAAAATACATTATTTTTCACCAGAGATTTTTTTAATGAAATCAGTTATCCTCAAGTATTTTTGTCTCAACACATCTCACTCTGCCCTTAACATATTATCTTGACCTTGTTGAAAAGATATATTTCCACACTAAAGTCATGGTTAAAACCTGATTTCATATGGAAATAACTTCATTAAGATACTAATATATGAGTGATGCTGACAAAAGTAGTTGGATATAAAATAAATTTCCATTAAGATGTCAAAAAGTACAAGGTGTCTGAGAATCAGTTGAGATAATTCGTTCCATTTTGAATTTAACTTTGTATGTTAACTAAACAACACTCCTTCCTAAGTAAGACATTTTCAGAATGCTATTTGTAGAAGATTTTCAGTGTGCTTACCAAGTGGGTGGATAGGATCCAAACACCTTGTCTGCATTTACACATCCAGTACAAGAAAGCTCAATTCTCTGTTCCCTTGGAATGCAAGTTATTGGGATAATGGCTCACTTAAAGTCTACACTGCATATTCTGATTTGTGGTCTGTGAATCATGCATATGGCTTATGAGCCTGTTTAGAAGTCATTTAGGTCATTCTCAAAGTAAACAGAGTTCTAGGCAGGAGCCCCACCTACTTCCTCCGCATATGCTCCAAGTTTGGCTTCTGCGTGCCTCTCGAGTTCTTTTCATGGACCACACCAACATTCTTCTTTCCCTCACTTCCTAGAAGGACCTGAGGTGATTTCTCACTGGCCAGCACCTTTTCACACAATACGTAGATCATCCAGTGCCCAGTTATTGGAAACTACAGTGGTGCTAAGCTTTGCCAGTTTACTATTTGGTCTCCGCTCCCATATTTCAGCTGATTTTTTCAGGTCATAACACTGACAAAACTCTTAGAGCCACTGGCTACCACACAGGTACCATAAAGCAGTCATGCAACTTGCCCAACCATCTCCAATGCCTAACAGAGTGTAGGATATAAAAATCCTCTGTTTCTTTCAGATGGCCACATGCAGAACATCCTCTATGCAGAACAAATCCTCAGAATAGCAAAATGCTGAGGATGAGAGATTAAGATCCTGTCCTTCCCAGACATGGACAGGTGTTTAAAAGGCACAACCAGGCTTACTTCCAGTGGTTACAGTTCTGATCATTCCAGTGTAATCAATCTATTCCAAGTAAAACCTACTCAATGTCTAGGATGACAGCAAACCTATACAGAGTTTAGGAGGAGGACCGTTCCTTCCTCTTTAAAACGCTGCATCAAATTCTCATCTTTGTGGAAGCATCCTGGTCCAGGCAGAACAAATGTCTCCCTCTGCCCCCATGAGAGCAATGCAAAAGGCCAGCTGAGAAGAATGCCCCCTGCTGACTGGCAGGTGGACAACATCTAGCTCTGTGCTTCATCTGCAGCATCTTGCTCTCTGCCTTATCTGCAAATACTTGCCAGCAGGACTGCCTTTTTGTTTGCTTTCCTCTTCTGGGCTTTGTTTGCTTGCTCTGATTTGTTTGACTTGAGTGACTTGCTATTGAATGCTTGCAGGTACAGACTGTGCTGCACTGTGGCTGGATAGGGCAGAGCTTCATCTCTGCTTGGACCAACTCTGGGAAGAGACTCATAAAAAGCCAACATTACCTGAGGGCAGTGGGGCTGCCTGCAGTGGGGCTAATCCCAGAGGGGTGACTCTGAATGGGGTTGTCGCTTTTCAGGGTGGCGTGTTGGGGTGATGCAAAGGCAAGGATTGATTGTATTAAGAAAGTGACAGTCCTGACTTCACCAGAGCTGAGCAGGGCTGTCAAGGACATCTTGGAGGACATTCATTCATAAGATCAGCGTAAGGCAAGAGATGACTTGACAGCATGTAATAACAGTAAAAGATACTGAAGACCACACCTAAGTAGCTTGGACACAGCAAGCAGCCTATGAAGCCTTATGTGGAAACCACCCAGCCATGTGGAAGAGACATCATCCAGTGCTTCCTCTGGTTCAAGGTCTCTGCTCTGAAGTAACATGCCTCTGAATGAGACCCCCCAGTCCTCAATACAGAAACAGCCCCCAGGCTGGCCTCTTCCCAAATTGGTCTGATGCACTCTGGATGGTCTTAAAGCACCTCCTGCGGAGGTTCAGCTTCTGGATTCCTCAGCCATCCTTGCCGGTTAATATGGACACCTCTCTTTTCAGCTGGGGGCCCACTGTTGCACATTCACAATCAGGATGGTGGTCCCAGGTGGAAAGAACCCTCCACTTCAATCAGCTGAAGCTCCTTGCTGTTGCCAAAGATGCTGAAATCAGACATCAAAGGATTACCTGTCCCTCCAAATCACTTTAATGAACCACTTTCTTGTATTCCTCTACTCCAGTGGACTCTAAACTGAGAGATAAGTGGAACATGTGCATGTCCATTTAGAATGTCTTTCAGTGCTAGAATGTTTCAACTGACTGCTCTGCACAGGTTCATCATCCATATGTGTGAATCCACAGGTGACCACTCAAAGACCCAGCATTTCAGGTGAGCAACCTGTCCCTCTCTAATTTTATATTGGCTTCAAAATTTGCAGATTGTATGTAACCAAATAGATTGCCAGGGCAGAAGGATACCTCACCCTGAACATTCCTGCTCTACCGTTTGCCTAGCTACTGCTTTTCCCCAAGTACCCTTAATTCAGTTGGCTTTGTCAATTGACAGGTGCTTTGTTTACAAGTATTTGTATGCCATTGCATCAGATGGAGGGTTAACATATTCTGTAGAATTAAAAGGCAGTGTGAAGGGAATGAAACCAAGGACTGTGAATAGAAAGGAAGAGAACAAATCTAGTGCAGCGAAGTACAGCATTGCTTAAGATTTAATTTGTTTACAGCATCTGCTGAAAATTAGAGGGTTATATTTTAGCCTCACAAAAAATAGTGTAATAGTTTTGCACATGTTTTCCTTTGCAAAAACAGTGGAATTTTGATTGTGTGAGTTCATTAGGGCCCAGTCAATACTTTATGAGGGCTTTTCACAAATTGTGCCAAACA